AATGTATTCTGACTAGGGTATTTGTGAAATAATGGCAATTTAAGTATGAAATTCCAGAGAAACAGCTTAGGGAAAAGAAAAAGTATTCTCTATTCCTGCCTAGATCTCCCCCACCCCCAAGGGTGGGATGGGGGCACAGGAGCAGGGGAGATGACATCTAAAAGCAGAGAACAAGACAAACCTCAGACCGGCCAGTGGCACTAGGAACAAACCACTCACATGAGACTTACTTTCAAGTTTTACTTACCTTTAGATTCTTGCCCTGTTCGAATCAGACCTCTCCCATGACCAGCCAGTTGCAAAACCCCTTAGCTACTCACTCTGAGGTTAAGATTTCAGTCTCTTGCTTAAGCATTCTGTTTCGTATAAATAATTAAGTATTTATTGAAACAGAGCTGAATGTGATTGTCACACATTCCAGGTGAATTAACACCCAGTTTGGAGCATTTTGGAAGCAGTCTCTTTTTAATTTTATACTTCTGGTTTACTAAAACAGGCTTGTGATTTAATCACCGCATTATCCACAGGGAAGTGTGACTGCTGTAAGGCATAGATAAAACAAACAAAAAAAAAATCCTCCTGTGAAGATGAAGGTAATAGTGTTAGCATTAAAAAAAAATTTCTCTCTTTACCACTCTAAGTGTATAAAACTCCAAGTATTCTTCAGGCCGGGAATATGGTGTTCTGTACAATAGCTGGCTGGGTAATTCCTGATACTTTTGAAACCAGCCCTAACAGCGAGGAGTAAGGCCGTGTGGTTATCTGTAGCAAATGTAGAGCTTATCTGAAGCTCTGCGGTTCCCCTCCTTATCTGAAGTGCTGCAAGGGGCACACTGATTGATTACAGGGAAAGGTGGTAGTCATTTCAGACTTGGCTTTGCACCCCCCAATTCATGCTGAGGGGTTTTCTCCTGCTGTACCTCTCCACAAGCTCCAGGGACAGCACTGCCTCATCTGGGGGAGGAGGGGGCTGCCCCTGCTACATCAGTGGCTGGTTGTCCCACAAAGGGAGGAAGATTTAAAATTAAAAGAATAACACTGTTGAAGAACAATAATGTAATTTTCTGACTTGTTAGGGGATGACTTAGCAAACAACCTAGCTGCTACACAAGGCCATTTCTTGTCAAGACAGCACTTCAGACTTGCCTCCCTGCTCCCTGGCACCAGGGCCTTCACCTTCTTGCCTGACTACAAGCATCTGCACGTAACCTAGTCATTAAGGCAAATCTAGCTCACCACAAAAGCCCACAAGAGCCCAGCAAAGCAGCCAGGCACGCCAGCAGGTCCCTCGGCCTTCTGAGGCAGTGCCAGGTGGGGTCACAGCCACAGAACAAGCCATTGCACCTATGCAAGGTGCCAAGAGCACCATGACGAGGTGAAAGGCATGGCTAAAGCCCAGTCTCCGTGGGCTTCTCAGGTAACGTGCGACAGCCCTATGTCTACACGTACTGGGGCAAAATATTCCCATTTGGCAGGTGTAGGAGCAGGGCATGGAGCCATTGTATGGCATTCCCAGAGAAAAATCATGGGGAAGTCTAGTACTCTAGCAAGGAACATTTTCAATTGCTCTGCTGCTTATGAGGTATTCTAGGAATTTTTCCCCCACTGATGCAAATTCAGAGTTCCCTTACACCAATAAAGTTCATCCCAATATAAAAGAATTTGTACTGTAGCAGCTCTACAGTTTAACATAGCCAATAAATGTTTTATGAAAAAAAGGAGGTGAGTGGTGAGCTAAAAGTTATGACATAGCTCGCAGCACTGTAGCTTTACTTCCCATGTGGTTTTTTCATGAAAACATAAGTGAATTTTTTGAAATATTGCTTAAAGTTGAGATAATATATAGCCAGTTATTAATTTCTCTAATTAATAATTTACTGAGTTTTAAACCAGAATCTCCAACTCAACTGATTTGCCTCAAAAGCTGTTTCAAATACTCTAGGCTCACAGCTACAGTTGTAAAATCTTTTGGCTAGAATGTATGATTTTTATTAACCTAGATGAAGACATGTAAATATCAGTGCTTAATTACCAGAATCTGTGTTGTCTAGGAATCCTTTGGGAAAAGTGGTTTCAGAAAACAGGAACATAGATCCAATTTGCTGTCAGAAAGGTGAGATTAATACAATTTGTCATGCATTACTGTCCAGGGTTCAGGTATGATAAGCAGGGACAAGACATGTTGCATGCAGCTTATTCCTCCTAGAAATATTTGTATGGCAGTAATTTATCTACTCAGTAAAGACATGGACAGGTAAAAGGTTAAAGACAAAGCTCAAGGTTGCCAAGCTTTGAGAAAGGAAGAAATAGTGGAAAGGCCAGACAAACAATAAAATGGGGCCAGGACCAACTAGGTAAGTCATGGGGTAAACTTAATTGCACATTTAATAAGCATAAAATGTATTAAGTCCAAGAACAACAGGCTAGATACATAAGGAAAAAGTTATTTTGCAGCTGCTTAAGTATTTATTGAAAATAAATGTTTCCACCAGCTTTTCTGACAGCTGTGCAAGAAAGCGTTCTGGAATTAGTTTCTCATTTAGGAGGCAGAGAACATTCACAGAGAGGAGAGTAGATCATTAGTCATCACTATAACATCAAATACCTTTACGAAAAAATTAAGACGTTTAAGAAAATTTGAAAATTTAAGAAAAAAATTAAAATTTAAGAAAAGTATTTACAGAGAAACTGAATTTATAATTTCAAATATAATCCGCTAACAAAATGCATCGCTCCGAGTTGAGTGTACAAACCTTGTGTTAGTCAACAGTTCTCTCCCTTTATATTTAAACATTTCTCCTTCTGCACTTCAAAGGGGAATTAAAGCTGCAAAACAAAGAAACTTACATTTATCAGTGACATAAGCGATCGGAAGGACAAAACTCTGAGATGAGAAGGCTCCATTCAAAGTTTAGTCTCAAGGCTCAAGTGTCATCAAGAATTTAACCACAATTTTATAATACAATTCCTGCACAAAGGAAATGGCTGGAAGTTGTACTAGCAGCCTCATCTTTTCACATATTGCTCCTTGACCTACTGACAACCTGCACAATAGAATCACCATTGGCATCTGGCACAGAAACAGGCAAAACTGTGCTGGTATTGAAAGCAGAAGAGTTACATTTTTATTGGTATCTTCATAAATGTAAAGCTTATTTTAAAAAAGGGAGATAAGAGGCTGTCAAGAGATAAGCCAGCCTTAAAATGAAGTGCAAGAGAAAGAAATGCTACCTACACATGACGAAGGCAGCTCACTCAGAATTACGGTTGTGAAAAAGATGAGAGGAAAGAACCACAAAATTAGTTTTTAGCCCCAGTCCTTTAATAAGGAGTAAGGACTCGAGAAATAAAGGCATAACATCAAAGCATAAAACATGGCATGTGACCTCATAAATATACTAAACTACTGCCAGTCTTAGCATTAGGCTTTCACTTGACTCAAGTATTTCTTTACAGTCACTAAGTGGCAAACATTCATGGGTTTATGCATGTTGAGATACTGCAATGGCATTTATGTTCATCAAAACGCAATGGTTAGTCCTGAAGTCAAGTGTCCTGAGCAGAACAAAACAGAAGCAGTGGGCTAGGAAAGCTGTAATGAATTCTGTCGTTCACATAATGGAAAAGAATACTTGTAAATTACACCTTTCTCTTTGCCTTTTTATCCACTGCTCACACTAAAACAAATCATGTACTGAAGTGAATTTTGATTGTCATCTCAATTTAAGAATGGCTACAGTGAAAAATCTGGAGCAGACTATTCACATCCACTTCTAGGCAATGCATTCATTTCTAGTGAAAGCATACACCTGCTAAGCTACTTTCAGAAATTATTCCAAAGTCGATTTGCTGGCAACATGCTTTTCCCTTCTTAACACCGTATTTGATTGTTTCATAGGACATCCTGAATCACTTAGGAGTTAGTATTTTCCTACATACATTTCACACACCAGTTCAAAAACTGACCTACAACTCTTGAAGACAGTACAGAAGTCTGAAGAAGGCATCTGGATTTGTAATTAAAAATCAGAGAAGCACTGAGAAGGAAGAGTCCTCAATCAGGCAGTCCTCCCAATTTTTCCCTCAAGTAAAAACTAATAATGTGCAACAGTGAGTCACTGAAGTGCCTTTGTTTTACTGAATGTCCCACAGCTGTGGGCTGATAAGATTGCAGTGGAAAGTATTTTTTTTTATTTTCCATTCATTTCCAAAACCTTAGCTGCTACAAGTGGGATACAGTTTTAAAAATTTTAGAATAATGCACTGAAAGGTACAGTATGAATACCACTACTAGACAGGGAGACATCTGTTTTGATTTCTCTTTATTCAGATTAACGGAGTTCAGTTAGATGCTGTCCTCCCTAAGGAAAAAGGTGCACAGGCACTGGTAGCTGGGCACAGAAAGACACAGAAGACTGAACGATGCTACCCTTCCAAGTGCTAAGTCTTCTAGAAAATCCTTCAAGCATGAGGACGTGGCAGCCAACCACTATATTCCTAAGGAAGAGCATTTCACTAGCTTATGTTCAATGTAAAAAATTAAGAAGTATGTTAATCTCTTATAGGAGTCAGCTGCAGACTAACGACACTTTAAAAAAATATGGAGGAAGATGTACCACTAATTGCTCCACATTTGCTGTCCACTCTTTCATGATGAACCCTATCTATATTTTCTTTCTTTGAAGATTTTTTTTTCCCCTACAATGAGAAGTTAAATATATACACTAAAAAAATAATCAGAGAGCTAGCAAAGCAGCAGCACGTACATTAGCAGAATACATGCACAGTCTCCATGGTAGAGTTCTGTTTTCTACCATGTTATCCATACTTGCAGCAAGGAAGCAAAGTTTCCACATGCAATATATATACCATTAATAAATATGACACATTATAGCAACATTATGGAAGGCTAATGGAACAGGTTAACTCCTTGGAAAGCAGCAGTGAAAATAATAGCTTGTGCAAATCCGTTATTGCAATGCCATTAGGAGTCAGGACAGTCAGAAAAGAAAGGTACCAAAACTTCCTTTCCCATTCCACTTGAACTGATTGCCCACAATAGAAACAAACATCTCCTGTGACATTAAGTTGTCATCAGCTTCTGTGATTCCCAGTTCACTCAGTCTTTTCTTGTGCATCTGGCTCTTCTTTGCAGAAGTAGCCCCGAGTTCATTTGCAATTTCATAATTGCCTTCAGTTTGTTCAGAAATCTCAGCTTGCTCGTAAAGCTCCAACTCATCAGTTACACATCCAGGTAGTTCTTCTTGCCTGAAGCCCTCTACGCAGGCTGTCCCATCACCTGACTGGGTAGGCTGCGTATTCCCTAAGTCAGGAAACAATAAGAATGTCATCAACAATCATGCAAAGCAGCCAAATCATTTAAAACTCCTGGAATTAAATTTTCTTCAGGGTTAACATTTTCACCTCATCCCACTTGCTTATGGATAACTTAGTGACATCCACATATTCCAAATACAGTGTAAGATGCTTACAGAAAAGGTTTTTTCTTGAGATGGCTTCAAGGTGCCAAGTGATAGTGATACTAGAGAAAATTACAGTGGATTTGCACATTGCACTTAGTGACAGTTCTTCTTGAATAAGACATAATATCAGAAATACAGTTGTCACTTTTTACTTACTGCAGAAAAAAAATTCTGTGCTGGGAGCACGTCTCAGCTCTAATGCACAAACGAAAAAATGAGCAGAGAATTATCATGAACCAGAAGAGCTGTAAGAGAAGCCATATCTCCTTTCTTCCTGGTCGCACTCGTGTTTCTGTATGACCAAAGGAGGCCATCAGTCATACAGGCTCTGCTTAGTAGGGAGCACAGATCAGGTACGCGAGGACTTTACAATGAAAGTGCACACACACACCATGAAGCACAGACATTCACAGTATTTCTCTGCGGCAAGTTCATCCTTTAGGAAATTCCAGTGTTCTGAGCGTTACGAAGATTTATTTCAGCTAAATTAATCTAGACATTATTAGAAAATTTAAGAGACTCGATTATGAATTATGCAATCCAAAAACCTGGGTATACTAGATTTACTAGTTTTAGGAGTTTCTTCTAGGAAGAGAAAAATACCTTTTGTTCTCTCTGCTGAAGCATCCTTTACATCAGAGGGCATTGTTGGTCTAACCAGGACCACACCATATCCTTCGTTATTATGGATCATATTATTGACCATGGTTATCTTGGGGATGTCATAATGTTCATCTAAAAAGTTCTACAGCAAAGAAACGGAAATCCAACATGTTATGTCCAGCTAAAGGGATGCAAAATATTCCAGTTTTAGGTAGAATCAGTTCTATGTATTGGCTAGAATTTTCTTATTTGCTTTTGCAAGTGACATTGCAAAAGGCATTTTCTTTCTGGCAGATAAGAAATATAATAAGTATACTGCCTTGGTGGACCAACCCAAGACAAACAAGGACCATCATCACCATATGTGAAATATAAGTTCTACCATAAGGTAGCAAGGTTATAAGCCAACCTAAAAGCAAATTATTTGCATTACTACTAGCAACTATAAGCTTTTGAAAAACAAATACATTCTTCCTTGAACTGACCTTTATAAGTATTCCCTCCTTGCAGTGGTGTATGCCGTTGTCTAACAGGGTGCATGTACTACCTGGATATATTTCCACACCAGCACCCTACAAAATAAAAATGATGGCAGTTCACAAATAGTTCAGGCACATTTCCAGTTTAACTTGACAACTCCATCGCGGATCTTTGTGTTCATCTACCAGTTCGCACAATGCAAAGTTGTGTTACTGCTCCAGCTTCACAGCTTTGTTAACCAACTTAAGCAGCAATACCCAAAAAGGTTGAGGCCCCATGGATAATATTATTGCCACCAGTCCATAAAAGCTCTGTTAAAGAGTAACTGTGCAGCCTTGCATTACTTTCTTGTTCTTTAGTCATCCACCTCAACAGTCAAAGCTCCAACATTCTTTGAAATATCCTAATCATAGTTCAGTTCTGTGTTTATCATCTTTCTGTAAGAATCAATGGACAAGGTATCCAAAAAGGGCCTTTCGTTTGCAGAACAAATGCAAGGTTTAATGAGAAAATTATTTATGGGTAAAGAAAACAGAAAATCCCTTTAAAAGTATTGCAGGACATGAATCAGTCCAGCAATGCAGCAGTGATTATTTCACAGATGTCCCCTTTAACCATACCATTTTCATATCATCACACACAAATCAGCATGAGACACTTCACTGGATACTATTGGAGGCTACAAGACCCCTGGGACCAGTCTCTCTAACTCAGTAACATGTAGCTGTCCAAAGTGAATTTGTAAAGGCTCTCTCAGGAGCAACAGAAGTCACCCCGTTACTGACTGTATTATTTCCAAGCAGAAACCTGTATCTTAATTTAGGAAATAAGCCAGAGTTAAGAATTTGTTTGTACCTTGGCACCATACAGATCTGAGTTTTTCATTAATAGCTCAGCTGATGTTCGTATTGTTATGCCCGTAGTTTCACACTGTAACACACAATTCTCCAGGGTGGTTTTCCCATGATGGACATCTACATACGCAGAAAACAAATATTGTTAAATAAACCAGTTACGTAAAGGCAAGCCCCTCCTTGGAGGGGATGGACTTGTAGCATTTTTGCACTGTGATAATATTGCCATTTTAATTTTATCCATTTCAGGTTATTTTACTGATTTGCTCATGCATGGTTTTAAGTCATGCTATTTTTCTAGTGTAAGCAGGAACACTGCTGCAAGGGAGCACTAGTCAAAGATTTGTCTTAGAGGTTTTTTTGCCTTTTTTTTTTTGAAAGCGACAGCAACTATTCTTTTCATTACATTCCTAAGAGACTTTTGAATTAATAAGATTATTAAATACATGTATACAGGTGTTAATAAACATTTTAACATGTTTAAAACCAAATGTCTGTTGAGGCAAAGTATTAATTAGCACCTTCTGCAAAGACAGAAGGCCATGGCCAATAAACTCATTGGATACAACTTGGGATTATTTGAGCCTCAGTTTGAATGTGCTGTCAGCAAAGTTCTACACTACTTCTACAGCCCATGCCATTCCTCAGAGGAGAGCTGGCTGGGTTCAATCACAGCTAAATATTGCCATGGGGGTTCTTACGTGGAAAGAGGAATTATTTCCTTTTCCAGGTAGCCTGACACAGGCTGTGCAGCAGTCAGAGTCAGGTTGCCTTAACAGCAGAAAAAAGATCAAGTCAAATGATCTTATCCAAGTATAAGAATAAAACACAGGAGCCACAATACCTTGAAAGTACAAAGAGCAGAAGTTATTTTGATGTCCACATTATAAGCAAGTTTAAAAAAGGGGGGAAGCCTTGATATTTATACCTGTAGGGCTCCTCTCTACAACATTTTGTTAAAACTAGTAAACTCTAACACTGGGTCCTAGCTTTAATTCTAACAGTAAATTATGGAAGATTCACAAAAAGGTCAAGATGCTTTTATACTTACTTAAAATCCCCTCCACAGCATCATGTTGCACTAACTTCAAGCTGGAGATCCTTATATTGGCTCCTGTACAGTCAACAAAGTTGTCTCCTTTCCCTCGTTTTTCTATCACAATATCATCTGGCAGGCCATAGCCTTAAAGCAGAGGTGAAAGACGCAAGTTTGATGAATAACTGGTAACAGTCAGGTGCTCAGTACATAACAGACATTTAAATTAAATATGGAGGTTTGAAACTTCAGGTCCAATACCTTGCATAGGATTTTCCACCCACTGGCCAGGCTACACCTTACACGCCCTCTGTACCAAGGTACAGGCACTCAAAACCAAACTCAAAAGTTACCTTACTTGAATGACACACAAAAAAATGCAAAGTTATTTTAGACAGTTGAACAAAAGGGTAACTGAGCTCACATTTACCAAGGCCAAAGCTCTCACTCACAAAAGTTACAACAGAGCAGGGAGATGCAGTAACCAAGGACACACAGGCACCTGCAGTCTGCTTTCAAAGTACAGAACTTCACTAGAGCAGGCAAAGGTTCCAAAGAGCACGAGGGAAAAAGCAGTCACCACCACAATACAAGGAAACAAGTGCAAAGGACTTAATGTTGTTAGTAAGCTTTATTCAACTTCCCTATTTAAATGAAACTTGGGTCAAAATTTGATGTTCCTGTGTTACATGGGCTTCCAGATTAATTCAGATTAAAAAGAAACTTTCACAAGCATATGCCAACATTGATTTACTAAGCCATCCACAGCTGTCAGCATTCGACAATTCCCACTTACGGGGAAATTTATGAGCATGTAAAAAGCTTTTATTGCTTGTCACTGACAAGAATCATGATAAGGAAAGCAATAATGTAACGTCTATTAAAGCAGCACAAGTCCTATCATTTTCTGAAAGCACACACGAACTCAGATAAGAAGTGCCTGAGCAAGATGCTAGCTTTTAACCAAGTACATAAATAAATACTGTAATGTGCAAGTAGAAAGGATAAAAGAGAAAAAAACCTTTGAACAAGTGTTGGCAGAAAGCCTTAAAGACAGCAGATTTAATGCAAGTGACTGATACTTCAAAACACTATACTATCTAGAAATCTTTTCCCACTGCTATTGATTTATGGTCACCCCTGGGGAGGAGGTGGCATGGGGCAGTTTACTTCCAGTGCATAAAAAGAGAGCACCATGAGACAGCAAGTTGCAGATCTAGTTTAACTTCACACCACTACAGAAAGAGGTTATTATCCAAGGCAAGAGTTTTCGGAATAATTGTCCTACAGACTACCTGCAGTTTTTCTAACCATGCTTTTAGCTTGCTTTACACTTCACCTCTGAAGCAGCAGCTCTAGAGTAAGAAGGAAGCCAGTGACAAGACAGGGAGTAGAGAAGGAAAGAGTCACCTGCTGTCAAGTGGTGTTCAATACACAGCGTGGTCACGGCTGTACACCTTGCCTGTAAGCTAAGTGACTCCACAGGAGCTAAAGGCAATTGTCATCCAGTAACACTGATCACAGATATTAGATGGGCTGATGCTACAGGTTCCCATCCAGCTTGAACAACTACTGTACAAACAGAAGGGAAGTTCTTAGGTGCCTTTGCTACACGCTTTTGTCAAGCGTTAAAGTTATCCTTACCACGATTTCCTGCAGCTGCTACTGCTTTAACCTTATTTAGTTCTTGTAAGTTTTTATTTATCCCTGACTTACTAATCCTCATACTTTCAACCTTAGTACTGACTTGCACAGTGGCTGGAAAAAAATGAAAGCTCTACTAAGCAAAGTGACATTATATCTTTGATGAGCCACCCCTTCATCCCAAGAAAGCCACCAGAACAGCCAGCTGCTCAGATTAGCGCCAGCAAAATTTTTCTTGATGCTCCTACTTCAAACGTTTTTGGTGCTACTATGCTATAAAAACTTCTCTAACAGGAGTCCATATAAGAAGATTAAATACCCTGACACATACTCATTATTCAGAGAGTGGTTCTTACTAAAGATACATATTTCTATGCCTTGCTTATTAAAATAGAGCAGCTCATCCTTTAATAGGTGTGCTATTGCACCATTTGTATTACTGTTTCCTTAAAGCTGGAAAAGCAATAAATACCACCCCACACAATTTTAGAACAATGTCATTCTTGCAGATAAATAAAGCACTTTGAGGTCCTTTATCCTACAGGTGCATTGATTTATATAGGTACATGTGCTGATAGACAAACATACACAAGAGAAGGGCGAGAAAGAAAATTACACTCATAAAACAAGAAGGGCAAGAAAAATAAAGTCCAGAACAGCAGGAAATTAAACTCCCAGCCTTCTTCCCATTAAGAAGTTTTGACAAGATAAAAATGCAGCTAAGTAAGTATCTGAACAGCTGCACAAGCCCCAGTGATACACAGACTATTACACTGCAACAGAGTGTGCATGCCTAAAGCAGAGGAATTACACTGAGAAATCAAGAATTGCGAGGAAGAGATAGCAGCATATCCTAGACAAGGCAGAAGTATTTCAAAAACAAATATTTTGCAAGAAAAATGGAATCTCATATGCTGCGTTTGTTTCTTCAGAATAAATACCCATTCTATCAACAGCTCCCTCCTCTACCCATGCGCTTCACATAATGCAGATCCACACTGGTAGACCACACACACATCACTGACATGCAATAAGTGCCATAAACTAAGTTCTAATAGCACTTGGCTCTTTCCTTCTGTATTCACCAGTGCTATACTGGCAGTGAGTCTCAGAGTATACCTCTGAAGCAGATTAAGACATGCAAAGAAGAACAAGGACATCTCTCAAGTACTCTTAAGTTACTGGCTCTAAAAACTGAAGCCTCTCAGAATGACTTTTGTGCTTCCTAGATTAAAAAAAAGAATCAAGTCCCTCGTGTTTCTGTTGAACCCTATTATCTATATAATCAGGATTTATCCAGACAAATAGTTAGGAGGAAATGATGAATTTGCTATTAATCAGCAAAATTTGCAGTTTATTTGCAGAAGTAACTATGGCTAATGAAACAGGTTACGGTTACTCCATCCTGCATTAGACATGGCTCTACAAGCAGAAATAGGAACACTTTGAGGAAAAAAGCAAATGCTCCCCCCAAACTCCGCAAAGAGTAAATCCTTATGCAGAGCTAGTTTAAGATATTCAGTTTACTTTGTTTTAAGCTAGCTTTGTTTATGCTAGCAAGCCTTCTACCTTCTAGTTCAACTGAATCAGCAATGCAGAACATGCCATCTACAACATAGTGACCAGGACAGATGATGACTGTGTCTCCTTCGTAACAGGCATTCACAGCTGCCAGTGGATCATTGTGAAACTGTAAAAGACAAATAATATAATCAGCTCCTGAAGAACGCTGTAAAAATTGATGCATTTATGCCCTTAAAGCTTGCTTTTTGATTAAATGTTGCTGCTTTTGCTTAAAAGAAACCCTTTTAAACGGTACCAATAATACACAATTTCTACTTTTAATTCAAGAATCATAGCACTCTGTGGACAAAAAAAGCCTTAAAACATTCCTTTGATGTTTGTGTCATGTCCATTCCCCCATGAGAAAACTGGGACAGAGGCACAGATTGAAGAGCATATGCACCAGAAAGCAAACCTGAATGTGGCCTTGGTTCCAAGCCAACACTTGAATTGTGCCTCAAGTGACTTGCCATGAGTTACTGAAGAAATAGATGACAGAAGGTAAAGAAAATAAAAAACACAAACAACTCAGCAACTAGATTTGAGCTGGTCTGAACATGGATGTAACCCTTTACTCCTGGTGCAAGTCACCCCAAAATAGAGTTCAGATATTACAGTGGCAAATATGGGGTCCACATGATCCTTTTTCTTGCTCAAAGAGGGCAGGCTGACATCCTTCACAAATATTACTGGGGGATTCTCTATTGAAGGATAACAAATAGTACAGAAAAATTGCACATGTATTGCTTCCCAGCAAATTCCAGGGCAAGCATAGTGAGACCATTTTTCAATTGCCAAATCAGAAAATCTGATTTATAGCCCAAAAGTTAATCCAGGACCTTCCCTGTGGCTCCATTTCGGCCATCTGTAATTCATGAACTTGATCAGAATACAGCAAGCAATTTCATTTGGGCCCAAGGAATCCAGACTGTTCTTAACTACTGAAGTAGTAAGCCCTGTCTGAATTCACTGAAACTAAACATAACTGCTCTAAAATAAATGTATCTCCTACATAGAACTAAAGCAACAGAATGACATTTCTTTCTTCAAACTCTAGATCATTATCAGTAGCGTCCAAAGTCACAAGTATTTCCAAACTAAATATAAGTATTATGCCTTACAATGTTTCATTGTAGAATTATTACAGAAGGTATATCTCATTATTTCCTACACACAGGAAGAAACTGCTTGTATAGAATACTCAGCAGACACAAATGAATTAAGAGAAATTATTTGTATCATCCAGTCTTACCACTTATTTAAATTACAGTGCTTTTTTTGAACTAACAAAAATAACACTGTGCAAATGTAGTATCTTGCACATGATAAATTAACTTATTCTTCCACATTGTTTCTTGAGGAGAAAAAAGTATTAGCAGACAGACAATTCCTGTTACTCTACCTGTACTTCTAGTTCTTCACCACAAGATTCAGGGCAAAGTTTGTCCCTTATCAATGACTGCAGCAGACTTGCCATCATGGTTGAGGATACAACATGAGTTATCTTGGTACCCGTTGGTCTCAGTCCTTTAGCTTGGAGACCACTGTATTTTTGGTAACCAAACACATACCTAAAACAAAAGCCACAAAGCCATCAGTTCTTTCTTCAGTAAAGAACGTCCATGTATAGTTTCCCATATGGCCCTCCTCCTTGCGCAAACCCACCAAGTACCTCAGCAGAGGATTCTCAATTAATTTTAGCTTTTGTTTTAAGTGCTCTATTTTCTCATACAACTTTAGTCCTTCCACCATGGAGACATTTTCTACTTCTGAGTCCGAATCACTGCTTGATATGCTGTTCCTCACATTTAAAAACTTCCTGTAAAGCTCTTCGCATTGAGACAACAAGTTCTGGTAATCAGCTACAAGCCCAGAAGGCACACGGTGTTCAAGGATGTCATAATGCCTGCAATTCAGAGCAAGGGGTCAGTATATTTCACATTTACAATTTTGAAAGATCAAATACAAACCCGGAGAGAACCTGAGGAGTTCTGCATCAGTATTTTAGTAAAGATTCTCTGCAGTCTATATCAACACTGCTCAATTTTTTTTGAAAGCAGCAAAACCAAAAATCTGAACAGACACAAACATATTCTTTCTAAATAGTTACCCATCCACCTTGAAAGATTATACACAATTATCAGAAACTCACTCTAAAACAAAGGCATAAGCACAGCTATAAAAAAAAAGTAAGAACTTAGAAGGTAATTAGATATAAAAATCAGTCTATTTTTAAGAATTTATTAGAAAAACTGAGAAGAATCTTGTCTAAAATAGAAGAAAAATCCTATAATGTGAAGTCTCTATTAGCAACAATCTAAACAACTACCTGGACAAAAACACAGAATGAATAAGAAAAGCATTATCAGCACCAGATGAAGATGTGAAGGCACTGCATAGTAAATTTCGCACCATCCCAAGAGTATCCTCTACAAACGAAACTGCAGGCCAGAAAATGCCAGCCCAAAGTTGCATTGCCAAAGTCAGAAAGATAAGGACATCTGCCAGCTAGATGGTGCCAAGAACTCCAGGGCCAATTATGTAGGACCAATCATGGTCACTACAAAAAAGCTGGACAGCAATTAATGATATAAATAAAACAAGATTTAATTATTTTGCACCATTTTTGTAGGGAACCAATTGAACACAGTATAAATAGCTCTATTCAAGAGGCTACATGAAATAAGGGCAAAGATGTTCCCTCAACTTTCAGAGGTTCTTTAAAGGTTGCACTTAAAGTATGCTGCAAAGAACCGGAAAATTTGTAGTCAGAGCAGTCAATATCTATAGAGTTGCAATAAACAGGGTATACAGAAACAGGCTCACAAAATTTTGGCAATGGGGATATCAGAGGCAAAGAGTAAGTCAATGCAGCATGATTAACAACAGAAGAATTTATAGCAATATAGAAATAGAAAATATTTGAAGGAAACTGAATGTTGTACATAATTTGGCCCTGAAACGCATGCTCTACATTTTAGAGCTGGTCACTGTGAAAGCGCATTAAAACTATCTTGTTTTTTCAAGCTTTAGTTAAACAGTTCATACAGCTTTACTTGCCTCAGAAGACTATTAAAACCTAATGTGCAGTGTAAAGATACTGTCTGTTCTCATTAAAACAGTGCACGCCGGAGACCTGAAAAGTTTAAAGCATCATAGGTTCCATGCATTGAAGATTAATGTTATTTCTGAGCTGACACATCAGTGCTTAAAACATGCTAGCACCAACATCAGTGTAGCTTGGAGAACAGGCTTTGTATCAAGCACAGTATGGGAGAATAAGAAAGGATAACGTTTACTTTTCTGCTTGAAGACATTGTTTAAGCATTTTGGATTCTCACCAAAATGGCTGTAAGGCCACGCACAGTGTTGAAAAAAAATAAAAACATTATCGCATGGCACATCATTGCATTCTGGTTTCTTTCCATGTAAAGTCTCCATAAGGCTCCAAAAACTCAACAACAGAATAGCCATTTGCTGGAGCATACAAGTATAGACACTTCAGAAACATGTACAATTTCCATATATAACACTTCCTCCTAATTTGTATGATCTCAGAAAAATACAGGCATATCAGAGTCCTCAAATGTCACACTGTGTCCTGTTTGAAAGAGAGGCCTGCAGCCACCTTTATAGTGTGGGTAATTACACTAATTTTGTTAGTAAAGCACATGCTATATGCTATATTCTAGCACATGTAATGCCATATGCTAAATAGCATTTCAGGGTAGGTTATAAATGTTCACTGACGTAGATCCCCCGCATCATAGCAGTATCAAACCTGGATCTGAATGACACACAGACTTCCAGATACTCATGATGCAAAGTTATAATAAGTAAAGGAACTGAAAAATAATTCTCATGAAAGACTTAAGAAAAAGACAGTGTGTCAAATCTCAGCGGAAAACCTACAGTAAAAATCACTTTTCAATTATTCATTCCAGGTATGTTTTATGGTGTGTTTTGGTTATTTAGCACCCTCAAAAATATAACCAGATTGTGTCCTTGTGCACTGCTTCAGTTCCATATGGCAGGACAGCATTAAAAACCCACCTTCAGAAAACC